AGCCGTTAGCAGCAGCAGAAGCAGCAGCAGCAGCAGCAGCAGGGTAACCGCCTTCTCTCCAGCACCGCGGGGGCGCATCCGCCCGCGAGACGAGCAGCCCCAACCCTGGGAGGCCCCGCCCAGGGAGACGCACTCACGGAGCTCCTGACTCAGGAGGGATAGACACACACAGACACAATCAATCGTCGATCCCCAGGAAAATATGGGAAAATATGGGAAGTGGGGGGAAGACGAAAACCCATAAAACTATGAAAATATGGGGAATCCTGTTATTCGTGTGTATTTATGTGTGTGTCCCAGGGCCCCGGCATTGACCCCCTAGCCTGGAGCCGATCCTTCGCCTACGGCGCGCGGCCTCCGCCTCGCGCCTCTGGCGCCGCCCAGCTGGCGAGCTCCGCGAGCACCGGGGAGGGGGCCCGGCAAAGATCCAAGAAATCGGCGCGGAGCACCAGGAGTTTATGTCACTGGCTTCCTGTTCTTCTTTTTGACCCTGAGTCGGGCCCGTCCCTCTACATGAGGACTCGCCAAAAATAGTCAAAAAGATAGCCAGGGACTATTTTGTGACCCCTTTGGAGCATGCTTAGGGTCTGCTTGATGTGTCGTCGAAAACCCCCCTGTATGGGGGACACGCCCGACTTGCTTCTGACCCTGGAGCTTCGACTGTGCCACCTCGGTCCTGGAGCTCCGAGTCGCTGCCCCCTGCCTGCGGGCACCGCTGCGGGGGCACATGGGCTCGGAGGGCGGCGACGCGTCGAGCCCCCATCGCCGCCCACTCCTCGCCGTCAGGGGACCTGGCGGCCCAGCCCGCCCAGGAACGCTCCGTTCCGCTATCGCGGGCCCCTCGTTGAGTCGGGCATGTCCTCGTGCAGGAGGAGTGTTCGAGAACGGTAAACAGAGAGTAGTCTGGGGACGATCTGTCGCACTCTTTTGGCTGTTGCTGAGTTGTTTGTTTGCCTCCTTTGTAGCTTTCCTCCAAAATCCGCCTGTAGGAGGACATGCCCGACCTAAGCCCATCGCCGATCTTTCGGCGATGCCTCGCGATCATCCCCCCCCCCCCAATGGCCCACTCCTCGCCGACATGGGGCCTGATGGCCCACCCCGCCCAGGAACTCTCCGTTTTGCTATCGCGGGCCCATCGCCGATCTCTCGGCGATACATCGCACCCAACGACGACGATGACGACGACGACGACGCCAACGACCCCGGCGCGACAAGGCGGTACCCACGCGGCGGTGGCGCCCGCACCCGCCGACGGCGGCGGCAGCGCCGCCCAGGAGCCCGGGGTGCCGCGGCGGCGGCCGCGGCCGCGGGCACGGCTGCGTCGGCAAATTTGGCCCCGCTGCCGCTCGCTGTCGTGGTCGTCGTCGGCGTCGTCTTGCCCGTCGTGTCGAAGAAACAGCCCAGACCCCCTCGAGCCACGAGCAAAACGCGACACGAGGTTTCTCGTCACTTTCGGCCTCGGGGGGCCTTCACCCGCACTCGGGACTGTCAGATTAACGGGTCAGGATGAATGACCGGTCCCCGGGAAAGGGTCTGGGCCTCTGGGGGTCGCGTCATGAAAAAAATCATGACGGCGGGGGTCTGGGGAAAATTGCATGCACATCTTACCAGCCTTGAACATATCCCTATCCCTATGCTGGGCACCTCCTCATCACGATGCCAATCTTAGGGATTCCCTTATTCCCTACCTAGGCTCTGCCTAGAAGGGTTCTTACTGCGTGGGCTTAAAGGGCCGGGCAGTGGAACCCGCCCCGGGCGGTTCCCCCAGGATCCGCCCCGCGGTTCCCCCAGTGACGTTCCCTTAGCTTAGCGTTGCTTATCTCATCTTAGCTTAGCTTATTGCATCTTAGCTTAGCTTAGCTTAATATTAGCTCAGGTTTATCTTAGCTTAGCTTACCTTCATCTTAGCTTCACCGAGCTTTAGCATAGCAGAGCACAGCATAGCATAACAGAGCGTAGCACAGCACAGCGCAGCACAGCATATCATAGCAACGCCCAGCATAGCACAGCATAGCGCAGCATAGTATAGCATAGCATCGCATAGCGCAGCGCAGCACAGCACAGCACAGCATAGCACCGCGCAGCATAGCATAGCGCAGCACAGCACAGCATACCCTTAGCATGGGTGTAATTCCCTACCTAGGCTCTGCCTAGAGGGTTAGCTTAACTGAGCCTAGCTTAGCTTAGCATAGCGCAGCGCTGCAGTAGCATAGCATAGCATAGCATAGCATAGCACAACATTGCCAATCATAGCATAGCATAACATAGCATATCATATAATAGCGCAGCATAGCATAACATTTCATAACATATCATATCTTACCATACCCTAGCATAACATAACGCAGCTTAGCGTAGCATAGCATAGCATAGCACAGCTCAGCATAGCACAGCGCAACATGACATAGCAAAGCTTAGCTTATTCTAGCATAGCATAGCATTGCATAGCATAGCATAGCATAGCGCAGCATAGTATAGCATAGTATAGCATAGCATAGCATATCATAGCATAGCGCAGCATAGCATGGCATGGCATGGCATAGCGTAGCATAGCATAGCAACTCATGGTGCTTTTCCTAGCGGCTCCAACTTCTAGGTAGGGTCGCACTGGGGTCATTTTTTGAGGGCGAATCCCTAAGATTGTCGTCGCCTTTTGGCGTGTCAATCTTAGGGATAGGGATACGTTCGAGGCTGGTAAACATCTGCTGTCGGAGCTCCGCGTGTCTCTCACGGATCGGCGCCCGGCCCCCGCGGGCGCGCGGAGCTCGCCTGGGGCGGCGCCGGGGGCGCCAGAGGGGCCCAGCGCCGACCTGAGGAAGCCGCGCGGACCTCTGGCAGCAGAGGTGGATGCGATCGGTTTTCCCTCCTGGGTGGTGCATTGGAGCGTATTCTCGCAGGAGTTTCCTCTTGACGTCCTCCTGGTCGCTCCCGCTGTCATCGCATCGGGAGGAGCACCGCTGGGCCATCTGGAGGCCTTCGAGAGGCCCACCGCCCATCGAACATCCGAGAGACCAGAAGGCAACAGTCGTCGAAGCAACAATGTGGTGTTCGATCATGCTGGCCTCTCGGGGACATCCTTCGGATGCTCGGCGGCCACCTCAACACGCCCCTGGTTGATGCGCTAGTGCCGGTGACGCCCCCCATGCATATGCCACACCTGCTTGCGTGCGCGGGTGTCACTTTGCATAGTGCGGCATGACGAGGCGAGCCATACTACGCTATGGTTAGCAGAGCTGAGGGTCTGATGCGACACGCTCGAACACGGAATCGTGCGGCGCCTCGTTGGCATCGAGCAGCTCTTCTGTGATAGCTCTGGGATCGTCTGGCGGGCTATAGTTCATTGCCAGCCAGGCTTAGCCGAGCTAATGGAGGCCGTTGTAGGCTGGTGCCGGTGTAGGTAGCTGCGGGTGCGTGCGAAGTAATCGAGAGCCCGGAAGCACGCAGAAGAAGACGACGTCGAAAGTGCAGGTAAGAGATATACGTATTCTGAGGATTGCTCGTGGGCAGGCCTGGAAAAGCACTGGGAACAGTTTCTGGTCTGGCGATTTCCGATGCTGGATGGACTCTGTTGGCGGCGAGCGAGGGGGGGAAGCGAGAAGGAGAAGGCCCTCCCAGAAGGTGGCGGGGCTCCTCACAAGGCCCCTGGCCTTCTGAGAAGTTCTCCTCTGAGTCTTCGTGGAAGGCTCGGGAAACTTTTCGAAAGACCGCTGGGGGACTTCTGAGCCTCCAGAGGAGGCCCACCCTGAGAAAAGTGGATTCCTGACAGCACGTGTGCGTGTAATGTGACGGCTCCCCCAAGCTGCCGGCGAGACAGCGAGGAATAAGAAGAAGAAGAAGAAGAAGAAGAAGGAGAAGAAGAAGAAGAAGGGAGAATCGATAATAGGAGACACATGATAGGACAGTGAGTCTTTCTGCGGAGAATCTCACGCACGCCTGAAGCTCGCCCGCCCCTTCTCGCTTCCCCCCCTCCCGCGCCGCCTAGATGCAAGCCAAGAGTGGGGGGGCGCCGCCCGCCGGTTTTGATGCAGTGGAGGCCCATGCCAAGAAACACCCTGCTTGCCTCCAGGGTGCCCTGGATTTCTGGGATTCCGATGATTCTGCTGTGGCAGGCGTGACGTTCCCACACCAACTATCGATGGACGTCCCGGGGTCTCGGGGCTGGGTCTCTTGCGGGAGGTTCCTCGTGGCCGGGCCCCCACTGCACCACAGCTGCCACAGGATCGTCCCGGCGACGGTGCGGCTGCTCCGGGCGCGCACGCTTCGGCGCACGAGGCGGGCCGCGGTGCCTCTTTGGTCGGGGGCTGCTACAGTTAAGGCGGGCCTGTCCTTCTAAAGGAGGAGAGTTCAAAATAGTAGAAAAAATAATCTGGGGGCGATTTTTCTATTTTTATGGGGCTATGTTCGAGTATGTGTGTTACTATCTTTGATTCGTCGTCCGAAATCCGCCTGTAGGAGGACATGCCCGACGTGACGCTACAGTTGCCCCTGGCGCGAGGTCATCCCCCAGTTTGTCGCTTAGTTTTGGGGCCACGGGGCCATCTAGGCCGCGTGAGTGGTGGTGCTCTGGAGGCAGCCAGGCCTCCCAGGAAGTCCTGGGAGCACCCTGGGCCAGGGAGGCACTTCCTAGCAACCCCCGATGTGGTAGCGAGGAAGCCCCGAGGATTCCATCTGCTCGCCCTCCTCGCGCGCCCACCCAAAAAGACGTGCACGGAACGCGGCCTCTGACCCGGAGCGTTCCGCAGGAGGGTCATCAAGGTGGTGGGCATATGGGGGGGCGCTCGTGGGGTTCGGTGAATAGCTGGGTCCTCCCCCCCCCTCCCTCGCCTCGTCCTGCGTGCTTTCGCTCCTTTGTTCCTCCCGTGTCGTCCCGTCCCCCTCCTCGTTTCTCCTTCCCCTCCCGGGGTAGCCCCCCCTTTTGGCTTGTGGCGCCACCTTTTGATACCGGCCTTGCCTCCCTGTTTTGGGGGGGGCAGGGCTGGGAACGGCTACAAGAGAACACCATGGCCGCCGTTAGCAGCAAGCAGCAGCAGCAGCAGCAGCAAGGTGGTGGGCGAGAACGAGTAACTTCCCAGCGTTCCTTCGGGGGAGAAGGCGGCCACGGTCGCTTTGGTACCGCCGTGGCTCGGTCCCGGCCATTTCTTCGCCCTTCTCGCGCGCCCCCCCAAGAATGAAGTCGGGCCTGTCCACAAAATTTTAAAAACACCCGTGGTTGCCAAAACGGAGCTCTGCCTCGACTCGACGGGACACTACAATCGTAAGGCATGATTGCGTTCCTGCATCGTATAGCCTGCCCAGCAGGACCAGACTGTCTGCAAGCAACATACGCATATAGCATATAGCATCATCGAGAGTTGCGGGTGCAAACTCACGCGTGCGTAGTACACGTGGTGCGTCGGTGGTAGGAGTTGCATTTGTTGTTGGCGGTGCACGAGAGCCTGACCTCTGGCGTGGGCCGTGGCGCAACTGGCGTCGAGGCTTGATGGGTCGACGAGTCGTCGACGAATCATCTCACCCTGTCCTCACGGCCGTCGTCAACGACGACGGCCGTGAGGAGAGACAGGGAGAGAATGAGTGAGTGAGTGAGTAGGTGAGTAAGTGAGTGAGTGCGATATCCATATATCTACATACCTAAACACACACAAGCATGAAAACAAAACACCTAGACAGAGGGAGGGAGAGACAGAGAAAGAGAGCGAGTTAGAGAGAAAGAGGCACATCGATTTAGAGAGAGAGAGAGAGGAGTTATATGTATAGAGAGAGCGAGAGAGAGAGAGAGACAACCAAACACACTAAGAGAGAAGGATCTACATAGAGAGAAAGAGAGATAGCAGCAAACAAAACGCGTGATAAAGGGGGGAGACTACTCCTCATCTCCTTTTTCCCGCCGCCTCCCGCTTCCTCAAGGCCAGCCTCTGATTGTGGCCGACGGCGTGGCGGGGAATTGCAGAGAAAAAGGGGGGGTGAAAGTGAGGGAGAGTAGGAGGAGGAGGAGGAGGAGGAGGAGGAGGAGGAGCAGGAGGAGGAGGAGGAGGAGGGGAGGAGGAGAGGAGGAGGAGGAGGAGGAGGAGAGGGAGGAGGAGGAGAGAGAGGAGGAGGAGGAGGAGGAGGAGGAGGAGGAGGAGGAGGAGGAGGAGGAGGAGCAGGAGGAGGAGAGGAGGAGGGAGGAGGAGGAGGAGGAGGAGGAGCAGGAGGAGGAGGAGGAGGAGGAGGAGGAGGAGGAGGAGATGGAGGAGATGGAGGAGAAGGAGGGGGTAGAAGCGAGGGAGGGCGGCAACGCGGGTGGAGAAGCAGCGGCGGCTGCCGCGCTCCCCTTCCCTCGAGAGACCCCCGGCGGAGGCCAACCTGCTGGACGCCGCCGCGGTTGCCGCGTTCCTGGCCTACGGCAGGTGCGGCGCCGGTGCCTCCTGCGCCTCCCGCGCCTCTCCAGCTCTTTCCCCGGACCCCCCTCGGAGTCACCGAGCAGCCACGACGGGAGGCCCGAGGGGAGCCGCCTGCATCCCCATCTCGGGGGTACATCGGCCAGTGGGGCCCAGGGCACGCCAGTGGGGATACGTAGGCATCGGCGAAACGAGGCTCGAGTCCCGCCTCCCGCCTGTGCGGCTCCGCCTGCTCCCGCTTCCCCTGCACCTGCTGCTGCAGCGTGTGCGACTGCTCCTCGGCCAGTCCCAGACCCCCTCGAATCACGAGCAAAGCACGACGCGAGGTTTTTCCCTTTTTTCGGCCTCTGGGGGCCCTCACCAGGCCTCGGGACCGCCAGAAAACGACCCGGGATGAAATGCCGGTCCCAGGGAGTGGGTCCGGACCCCTTGGGTTCGCGTCATGAAAAGGTCGGGGGTCGGGGTTTGCTCTTCCCAAAACGGTCGTGCGGCTGCTATTCCTCATGCCTCTTCCGCCTCCCCACCCACATCTTCCTCCGCCTCGCAAATCCATCTTTATCCTCTGACTCTGCCCTCTGCTCCCTCGTGTTCATTCCCTTCCTTCTTCATCTCCTCCTCGTCCTCGTTCCGATACCTTCCTCCTCCCATCTCCGTCATTGCGCCTCCCATTCCTCAAACATCAAGTCGGGTGCATTCCCTCTGGGACCTCGAGGACATGCTCAAACGCGCAAGTTCAAGCAGGGAGAAGCGCAGCGAAAACAGGACCATCCTCCTCCGCATGTCGTCTCTGTCGAACAGGAAGAAGCGGTACGAATCCTAAGCTTCTGGAGGCACTTGCGGGTTTCCGGACTGTGCTCGATGTATGCTATTAAGTGTTTGTTCCAGCGACGCCACACAACGGGGTCCTCTGCCCCGACATTGGTGCGTAAGCTGCCCGCGCAAGGTCGCGCGTTAGCGACCTCGTCTCTAGTGCAGCGTGCCGCGCCTGCAGCCCGCGCAAGCTGCGGCGTGAGGCCGCTACAGTGGTGGCCCATGCAAAGAAACACCCTGCTTGCCTCCAGGGTGCCCTGGGTTTCTTGGGTTTCGATGGCTCCACGATGGGAAGCGTGGCGCTCCCACACCAAAAATCAATGGACGCCTTTGGGTCTCAGGGTCGGGTTTCTTGTGGGTGGCTTCTTGTGGTGGAGCTCCTACCAGTACGCCATCCTGCGTGAGGCTCGTCGCTTTTCGTCGCTCGTCTGTCACTCCCGTGGCGCGCCTCCCGGATGGCCTGCCTAGCCCCCCTCGGCAGGGAGAGAGCACTGTCCCTTGCGGCGGACGCCAAGCACGGCGCACAGGCGCGCCGGGAGCAGAAGAAGGAGCAGGAAGAGGAGGAGGAGGAGGAGGAGGAGGAGGAGGAGGAGGAGGAGGAGGGGAGGAGGAGCAGGACGACGACGACGACGAGTGGGGGGAACGGCGACGGCGACGACGACGAGGACGACGACAACGAATACGACAACGACGAGGAGGAGGAGGAGGAGGAGGAGGAGGAGGAACGTGACGAAGGGAAGAAGGAGTAGTAGGAGGTGGTGGAGGAGGATCGTAAAGATAGTGCAGGGGGACGACGAGGAGGGGGAGGGGGATAAAGAGGAGGAGGAGAAGGAGCAAGAGGAGGACGATGATGAGGAGAAGGAGGAGGAGGAGGAGGAGGAGAGGAGGAGGAGAAGGAGGAGGACGACGACGGTGAGGAGGAAGCGATATAGCAGCCGAAACAGGGAGAAGGCTCCGAGGAGGGTCCATGTTGTGATTGTGGTGGGGCGCTGATCGGGGGCGCACCGACCCTCGCAGTACGGGTGAGGAGGGGCAGACAGAGGTGGAGGGGGGTGCGGAGGCGGAGGAGGAAGAGTTGGAGAAGCAGAGGGGGCGAGGCAGGAAGAAGCCGATGAGGAGGAGAAGGAGGATGGTGATCGTTGTCTTATTCATCGCTTTGCCGATCGGCGCGGGCCCTCTCACCTCCCCCCTCCCCCCCTTCCCCTCCGCGGAGTGGATCTTGGCTGTTTGGGGCGCCTGTTCCGCGCAGGTGGAGGAGCCTCCCCCATAGAGGCGCACGGTGGCAAACAGTCGCATAAAGCAGCGGTCCGGAGCGAGACCCCGCCCCTCTCCCCCCTCTTCCGCCCAATGTCGAAACGCCGAATAAGAACACGTTCACATGAGGAGGAGGAGGAGGAGGAGGAGGAGGAGGAGGAGGAGGACGACGACGACGACGACGACGAGGAGGGGGAGGGGGGTAAAGAGGAGGAGGAGAAGGAGGAGGAGGAGGAGAAGGAGGAGGAGGAGCAAGAGGAGGAGAAGGAGGAGGAGGAGGAGAAGGAGGAGGAGGAGGAGGAGAAGGAGGGGCAAGAGCGGGCGACCATGGCCAGCGCCGGGCGGTGCCAGTGGGGGGGGGGCAAAAGGACCAGCAGGGGGTGGGGGAGGAGGGAGCAGCGCAGCACGCCGCGCTGCAGGCTCACGTTGGCGAGCGGGCTCGACGGAGCCGCTCGCGCTCCTCCCTGTGCTCCCTGCCCCCTCCCGGCTCTTCCTCCGTGCCTGCTCCCCCTGAGCGCGGGCGCGGCGGAACCGCGGGTTCTCCTGCGGGGGCCGCCCGCAACGTGGTCTGGCCCCAGTCGTCTCTGTCCGGGTGTTGGCCTCTTGCTCCAGCCGCATGCGTGCCGTTCCGAGGCACTGGTGCTCACGCAAGCGCTGGAGGGTATTGGTTGGGGAATCTGGGGAATGGATAAAGACGATGAGATGAAAGGTTAGAGACGATGACGAGGAGGGCGGATGAGGGTAAAGATGGACGGATGCGGGTAAGGACGCTGACAAGGAGAAAGGCAGGACTCCCAAAGCCAATGGACGTGTCTAAGCCCAGATGCCCCTACGCGCGGGGGGAGAGCAATAATGTCAGAGTTGTACGGCCTCTGGGCGAGCGTGACCTAATTACCACAAGCAGTTGTGGCATTTCGGAGGGAACGGCCGCTGACCGTGGCCACAGGTCAAACAAGATCATCATTATCGATTTTGCTGAGGTCCGCAAACGCTCCTTGGGTCGGCGCCGGATCCCTCTCCCCCACGCCTGTTCATTAAAGCGCGGATCGCGCCCTGGGCGGCGCCTAAGCCGCCGTCCAGTCGCTGACCCAAGGAATCCTCGCAGACGTCCAATCTGCTATGTTTGCAGCTTTTGCAGCTGCCATGTTTGTGTGTGCTTGCTGCATCGGACCGTCACACTGCAGTCTGCGGCGCGCTCTGGCTACTGTCCTTGCTGCCGGTTTTCCGCTCTTGCAGGAGGCAGACTTTCGGTAGGGGGAAACCATTAGTGGACAATCCCTCCCTTCCCCAATCTCAAAGTTGGCACGCGCGGGGGAGACTGCGGTCGAAGTGCATCTCATCAGACTCACCGCCAACTTTGAACATTGGGGGGAGGGGCAGGCGTTGACCGATGAAGATGGCATGCGTGTTCACTACTTGTTCCCGAGGCCTGTATGGCCTGAGGGGGCTGCCTGTGGGCCCTTGCGCTCACGGTCGGAGGTGCAAGCCGGACGGACTTCGCTGGACCTTGGAGGAGGGGGCGACACCAGCAATTAGAGTTATGCTGTTCCAGCCTACCTTTGCCTGGACCACCAGAAAGCATTGCGAGCACCAAGACGGTACCGAAGCTGGAGGGTTTTCACGCGTCGGGCCATCGGGTCGGCAGTGCTCGCTCGACACTGTTTCGATACTTTCCTGGGTGCTCGAAATTACTGCGAAGGCCTTGCGGCCGGCGCCGCCGACCCTGAATGACGACGACGACGACGACGACGACGACGACGACGACGACGACGACGACGTACTCGTTCGACACCGTTGCGATGCTTTCCAGGGCGCTCGAGGTGATTGCTGGGTTGCGGTCCTCGAATGCGAAGGGAGCAAGCATACAGAAATTGCAGGAGGGGCGCGGCACGAGGAGCGGTGGCCTGCCGCCGCTCCTCGTCCCTGCTCTGCGCTTCCCCCGTGCCCGCCCGTCCTCCGTGGTCCCAGTCCCGCCTCCCGCTTTTGCCGCTCCGCTCACGTTGCTCCCATCGTGCTGAAGGACCGCATCCCAGAAATCATCTCGAGCACCCAGAAGAGCATCGAAACGGTGTCGAATGAGTACGTCGTCGTCGTCGTCGCCGCCGTCGTCGTCGTCGTCGTCGCCATTCAGGATCGGCGGCGCCGGCCGCAAGGCCTTCGCAAGTATCGAAACAGTGTCGAGCGAGCACTGCCGACCCCAGGGCCCGACGCGTGAAAACCCTCCAGCTTCGGTACCGTCTTGGTGCTCGCAATGCTTTCTGGTGGTCCAGGCAAAGGTAGGCTGGAACATCATAATCCCAGTCCCGCCTCCCGCCTGTGCTGCTCCGCCTGCTCCCGCTTCCCCTGCACCTGCTGCTGCAGCGTGTGCTGCTGCTCCTCGGCCATTCCCAGACCCCCATCGAGTCCTGACACAACCACGACGGGAGGCTCTTTGCCACTTTCGGCCTCTGGGGGCCCCCACCGGGCCTTGGGACGATCAAACGACGATCCAGGATGAAACATCGGTCCCCGGGAATGTGTCAGGACCTCTGGGGTCGCGTCATGGGAAAATCATGACGTCGGAGGTACACGTTGTTCATGTTTAACTACTCGAGATTTCCCTGATTTTTTGGGGGCCAAGATCCTTTCATGTCTAACTGTTCTATCCTGGGCCTCTTCCTGGCCACTGGGGGGCCAGGAACAGTTAGACACGAGCGCAACTAGAAATGAGCACGATTAGACATGAGCGACGCGTAGGGGATCCGCGCACCTCTTAGGCCCCGGATCGCTGCTCGCGGGTGCAGTTCGGCCTCGCCGCGGGCGCAGGAGAGTGCTGCTGCTCCTCCGCACGGCCTCCGCCGCCCCTCGCCGTGCGGAGGGGGCCCTGCGGGAACGTTGGTCCCGAGGTTCGGCGGCGGGCGAGGGGGGGAAATCGAGAAGGAGAAGGCCTCCCCAGAAGGCGGCGGGACTTCTCAGAAGCCCTCGCGCCTTCTGAGAAGTTGCTGTTTGTTTTCGGGGAAGGCTCAGAAAGCTTCTCGGAAGTCCGGGTGACTTCCGAGCCTTCTGAGAAGGCACGCCCCTTCTCACTTCCCCCCCTGGCTCGCCGCCTAGAGCTACGATGCTCCTGCCTCCTTCAGCCTGGATCACCAGGGAGTATTTCGAGCATCGAGAAAATACCGAACCTCGACCTCGAGGGTTTTCACGGGTTCGACACCGTTTCGACATTGTTTCGATACTGTTTCGACACTTTTCCGGGTGCTCGAAATTATTTCTGGGATGTGGTCTTGAAGTACGATGGGAGCAACAGAAATCCTGAGGTTCGTTTGGCCCCGGGACTGTCGACGATTGCCCAGGGATGGATACCCGACCTTTTTCATTCACGGGGCGACTACAAACAGGACTGCTCCACACAGAAGGTGATCGCTTTCTTACTCCTTGTTTTGCCGATCGGCGCGGGTCCTCGCCCCCCCGCCCCCCCCCTCTCCACCTCCCTGGAGTAGACCTAGGCTGTTTTTTGGCGCCTGCTTCGAGCAGGTGGGGTCTTCCCCATAGGACGCACGGTTCCAAACAGTAGCACTAAGCAGAGGTTCGGAGCCAGACCCCCCCCATTCACCCCCCCCCTTCCGCCCAATGTCGAAACGCCGAATGAAAAAGCGATCACCATACAGAAGATCAGATGGAAGGATCCGAGGAATGTAGCGAGAGGTGTGCAGGTGGCAGCGCACCCGGGGGCCGCGAGTTCCAGTCTGGACGCGCGCGAGACACCACGCTCCGCTGGACCTCCCTGGAGCCCGCGAAAGAGGCGACGGTTGCTCATATCGCACCTTCCAGGGCAGCAGGGTTTCCCATTGATATGAACAGAACCGCTCCGCGGGTATTCCCAGGCGCCCGCGAAAGCGGGGACAGGTGCGCAATTCTCCCTCCCCCCCGCTTGGGACGACATCTTATTGTGATGTGCGTAGGGCACCACTCCGCTGAAGCTCCCAGGAGTCAACGACAGCAGCGACAGTTTCGTAAGACAGCACTCCGCTGTACCTCCCAGGAGTCCACTGAAGCGGCGACATTTGCGCAGTTCGCAGATCCAAGGGAGGGCGAGGTCTCATCCTGATGTGCATCGGACATCACTCCGCTGGGCCACGCCAGATCCCACGAAAGCGGCGACAGTGCCGCATTTGGCAGCCCCGAGGAAGATGTGTGTAGGACACCGCTCCCGTGAACCTCCCAGGAGCCCACGAAACTGGCCACAGCTGCGCAGTCTGCGCCCCCGAGGGAGGGCGAAGGCTCATTCTGATGCGCGAAGGATGCCACTCCGCTGGACCTCCCAGGAGCCCACGAAAGCGGCAACAGTTATGCAGTTCTCAGTCGCGAGGTTCTATTCTGGTGTGCGTAAATATGTTCCGCTGGACCACCTGGGAGCCCACGACAGCGTCGACAGCTGAGCTGCTCGCAGCATTCTGATGCGCGTTGGGCACCCCTCGGCTCGACCTCCCAGGCGCCGACTGAAGCGACGACAGTTGAGTCGTTCGCAGTCACGTGGGAGGGCGAGGTTTTATTTTGCGGTGCGCAGGACACCACTCCGCTGGGCCTCCCAGGAGCCCACGGAAGCGGCGACAGTTGCACGGTCCGCACCCCCGCAGGAGGGCGAGGTCTCATTCTGATTTGCGTCGGACACCATTCCGCTGGACCTGCCAGGAGCCGACGGAAGCGGCGACAGCTGCGCAGTTCGCATCCCCGAGGGAGGGTGAGGTAGGAGGCAGGAGGAAGCTTGGAGTAGGAGGGAGTAAGAGGGCGGAGAAGGAGGACGAGGAGACGCGCAAGCAGTGCACTATCCACAGCGAGAGGCCAGCGGATGATGCTTCGGCAATAGACTGAGGATGGCAGATTTGATCCTGGAGAAAGCCATGGTGTCCAGGGCCCGTTTCTCTCAGGAACTGTCTGTTTCGGGGAGCGAAACATGACATAAACATACAAACTCGGAGGTCCGCGCGGACTTCTTGGATTCGCGCTGGACCCCCCTCCCGGGCGCGCGCAGTGCGCCAGGGGCGGCGCCGGAGGCGCCGCCAGGGGGCCCCAGCGCGGACCCGAGAAATCCGCGCGGACCTCCGAGTTAGTATGTTTGTGTCATCGTTCGTTCCCCTAATTCTCTTCATGCCAGTCCCCCCCCCACCACACCCCTGCTAGGTGGCGCGGGTGCGGCTGGGCGTCGACGCCACCGTGCGCAAGGTGCTCGGCCATCCCCCGCGCGGTCAGCGCCGTGGAGGAGGGGGTTCGGAGGACTAG